GTTGGGTTGACGGTTGGACTCGATGATCTTAGAGGTCTTTTCCAACCTTAATGATTCTATGATTTTCTATTAAACAGGATTTTAAACATTAAAGCCCAATGAATAATATTTGCTTTCCTCCCTCCTGCCAATGGTAAGAATTTCCTTGCTGGAAACATAAAAATAAATCATTTCTTATGTATCGCTCATGTAACAACAGTGCTATCATAAACAAGGTAAGCCTTGTTATATTTTTTTCCCTCCGATACAACACTAGCTAACTTAATCTACCTTTTCATTGATCTAAGGGATTAGAAATCCTGGGAACAAACTGTAGGTAGAAGAGTAATAGGAGTTAAAAAACAACCCAAACAAAACAACAATTATACTTCAGTATAAATTCAGTATAAGTTCAACTGGGGAAACTAGGATCTTGAAAACAGAAGGATAGGCTTGACAGAATCATAGAATCATTAAGGTTGGAAAAGACCTCTAAGATCATCAAGTCCAACCGTCGACCCAACACCACCATGCCCACTAAACCATGTCCCTAAGCGCCGCATCTACACGTCTTTTAAATACTTCCAGAAACAGTTCGTCCTTTGCTTAAGAGAGTCTGATCAGCACTTAACAAACCACCTTGCTAAAATCCCCATTATGCCACTCCATTTGAGAGAACCGGAGATAATTCATTAAACTCTATATAGCTTTCAAGCAAGGTTTTGCTCTACCATAACCATAGTGGCACCTTAATCCACGTGTCACAGTCTTTTTGTGTCAGTACTTTATAGTAAGATATAAGCATTCATCCATTAGCGCTTGAAAACAGCAGCATCTTCTAAAACAGAGAGCTGAACTACGGAGGGCGACAGTTACTGCTAAATAACTTGAGTTGGTGCTGCTCATGCAGCAAAATAATACTGCCGCTAAAGACAGCAGTGACCTACAGCTGTGTATTTTGCAAGGAGGTGCCATGGTTTAGCTGGCCTTCACGTACCCTGCAGCTGTAAAGCGCTGCCAAGTTGACACAGCCAACAGGCACACGGATGCACCTACGTGCGTTGGGGTGCAACCGTAACCTACCGCGACGACGTGGAGCACCGGCCACGCTACCGGTACCGAGAGGACGCCACACGTACCTGTAAGAGAGGCAAACCCACTCCTTCACGTCCCTCTCAGAGCCCACGAAGGAGGACGGGCCGCCTTCCTCACAGTCCACCGGCCCCTCAGCCCCAGACACCCCAATCCCGCACCGGGGCCTCCCCCACTGCCCCGCGGGGCTTATTACGCAGGAGGGAAGCCCACGAGGCT